GCGCGCGCGTGTGTGTGTGTGTGGTACTAGTGTTTGAACTCAGGGCCTATTTCTTAAGCCACTCTACCAGCCCTTTTTTGTTTTATCAAGATAGGGTCTCCCAAACTACTTTTCAGAGGCTGGCTTCAAATAGCAATCCTCCTGATTATAGGCTGAGCCACCAGCACCTGACAGATTCAGAGGTCTTCAAGTCACTAGTTTCCACACGCTGTTTCCAGCCTCCTTACCCGCTCTCCACCAGGGCCTGGCTGGCCCATTTCTCCTCTAGGACCTGTCTGACCAGGGAACCCGACAATACCAGGAGCACCAGGGGGGCCAGGGGGGCCCAATTCTCCCTGAAATAAATAGAAAAGAGTGGGGTGGTTACTACAGGACTCCTTCCCAGGACTAATCCAGGAATTCCCTCTTCTCCCACCTCCAGGGTCTCCCTGCCCACTGCCCCCACCACCAGCAATGAGACATTGACTTACCTTTATACCTGGAGGACCAGTTGGCCCAGGGGGGCCTTGGACCCCAACTCCTGGATCACCCTTTGAGGGAAAGAGGGATCATATCAGGCTCAGGGAGTCCCAGGACCATGACCCCTCGTAGGAACCCTTCCAGATAAATGTACCTTGTGACCTTTGAGTCCTGGAGCCCCTTTTTGACCCTAAAAAAAAAAAGAAAAAAAAAGTAAGTAAACAGCATTTGCAAGGATAGGAACATGAACACAGAACTCAGCCATGGCCTCAAAATATTCCCAGGTTGCTTAGGTGTGATGATTTCAAACCCATGGAAACTCAGACATGTGACCAAGGATTGGCTCACAGGGGCTCAGACATGACCATGGGCTCATGAGGGCACAGATGGAGGGAAGCTCTGCTGTGACCAGATATGTGGGAGTTCAGGCGTGACTGCAGGCACATAGAATACAGACATGAGCGCAGATATGTGAGACCACAGATGTGGAGCTCAGATGGTGACACCACTGTGTCTGCTCCCAGGGAGTTTAGATGTGACCACAGTGTACTCAGACAAACAGGGGCAGGAGAAGGAAGATATAAACACAGGGTCAAGGACAGATCTGTGGGAACTCAGTAGTGTCCCAAGACCTGGGAGATCAGACAGGAGCACACATGTGTAGACTCAGAATTGTGGCGAGACCAAGGAAGGGCACCCAGAAACTGAGCTGGGACCCCCTGAACCCTTGGAGTGTAGAAGTCAAGAGTGTGTGGCTCTCATGTACTCTAAGAAGGCAGCTCCTGAATATGTGGCCAGAGCCAGGGGTTTAGATGTGCCTGAGAATGTCCCTTATGTCCAAAGTCACATTCCTCAGGTCAAGTGTGGACCTGCCCAGACCCCAGACTCACATCTTCCCCAGGGTCTCCAGGCTCGCCTGCACGGCCGGCTTCACCCTGCAAGAAGGGGTAATGAGGGGCTCTGGCCTCCCAGCCTTGCTCCTCTCTGCCCAATGCGCATACCCGCAGGCCAGGCCCACTCACTTTCTCACCCCGTGGCCCTGGCAGTCCTCGGTCACCTTTGGCCCCCTATAGACACAAGCATCAGAGGCAACACAAGCATCAGTCACAGACAGATGATACTCAAGGAGGGAGGTATGACGTCATAGGAAGTCGAGGGTCATGAAGGTGGGTAAGCCATGAATCAAAGATCCTTGCGGTCAGAGGTGCCACACTCACCGGCTCACCCAGCAGGTCTCCAGCAAGGCCTCCTGGAGCTCCCTGATAAAAAAGTCGGGGTCGGAGGAGTTCCTTGGCCCCCTCCCCTTAGCTCCTCCTCCCAGGTTTCCCACACGCTTACCTTCTCTCCCTTTGCTCCAGGGGGCCCAACCACTACCTGTGGGGAATGCCTAGTGAGTTGCCCAGTAGCCTCCCCCTCCCTGCCCCCACCATACTATCCCAGATAGGATGTGGAGACTGAGGCTTGGGGGTGGGGCAGAGAAGTTGGTGCAGGGGTGGAGGTCAGAGTCAAAGGTTACCTGTCCAGGGGCTCCAATGGGTCCAGGTTCTCCTTTAGGTCCAACAGGACCAGGCAGACCTGGTGACCCCTGTGGTAAAGCAGCATGAAGAACTCAGAGTCTCTCTACAGTCCTGTCCCTGCTGTGCCCTCCTCATATCCAGGCACACAACTGTTGCCCAGCAATAGACCCTCCAGGAGTTCTTCCCAGAACACATACTGGCACACCAGGGCCTCCTCTGTCTCCATCCTTTCCACTGGCACCATCACGACCTGGAGCTCCTGGTTTCCCTGTCTCCCCCTGAGAAAAAGGAGCTCAGTCAGGGACCTGACTGTTGACCTTTAACCCCTGGAGCCCAGCCCCGACTTCCAGGACTTACCACTTGTCCAGGCAAACCTGGTGACCCCTGCGGACCCTGAGGGGGAATAGATGTGAGGGTAACATGGGACAAGGAACCATGGGAGAACATGGGTTCCATGTTTGAACATGGAACCTGGAGTTGGGAACATGGTGTCCCTGTAAGGGTCACAGCAACTCACTTACCACAAGGCCTGAAGGGCCAGGGGGGCCAGGAAGTCCCACAGCTCCAGTAGGTCCAGGTAGGCCCTAAAAGAAGACAAAGTTCAGAGCAGTGCCAACCCCACCTGTCTCCCTGTGACCCTATGCCATGAGCTGATCCACTCACCCGTCCTGGGGGTCCTGTCTCTCCAGGCTCCCCCTGCAAAGGACCCAGGACCACATGAGCAGAGCCCACTTGGAGGGGCTCTTGGTGCTCAGCCCCATCGCAGGGAATGACATCCCAGGAGGTTGGCAGATCTTACTCTGGGTTGGACAGAGCTTGAAGGAACTACCTCCTCCTCCAACCCATGTACTCCCACACACCTATACTCACCTTCAGGCCAGAAGGTCCCTGGGGTCCTGCAGGGCCAGCAAGACCCTAGAGAGAAGTGTCAAGACAGGGGACAGTGGTCAGCATTATCTGCCTGCGCTCAGAGATTCACATAAACAATGCCTGGCTCATCAGCAGTGATGGACACCCATCCCACCCCTCCAGTACCCCCAAGAAGGAAGTGCTTCCCTGTCACTCACTGGAGCACCGGGTGGTCCAGGGTCTCCATGGCCACCCTGTTGGAGACAGTCTGATGAAGAGAGCCAGCCTTACCCAACCAGGGAAAATACGCAGTACTACTCTTTGGGGTTGGGCACGGGATGGGGACAAGAGAAGTGAGGTTTCTCAGGTACTCACCACAGGGCCAGGGGCCCCCCTTGGACCCTGCAGACCCTGCATAGAGAAGGGGCTGATGAACCTTGATCTGGGCCTCACTTGGGCCTGTTCACACCTTCTGGGGGCTTTTCCTGGGACCCACTTCCATGCCCTCACCCTCCCAGGCATATATCATCATGCACTCATGGCCTGCCCCTCACATGTGGCCTAAGCCTCTCACAGACACCATGCACTTGTATCCACACCTGTGCACAAAGGCACCACCCACTTGGTCACACACACACCAGAGGTCCCAGAGCCCAGGCAGACTGCTCCTGTTGCCACTCACCGGCTTCCCTTCAAGCCCAGCCACACCACGTTCTCCTGGTAGACCCTGTAGAAAACAGAGTTAAGGCAACTCTGCCTTTATGCCCTCATAGCCCCCACCCACCATGCCTCTAGTCAGCCAGAGGCAGAACCTGGATATTTCTAGGCAGTGTCAACTTCAGCCCTGCACATAGGAGAACACAGATAAGGATGGTGTTTTTGCACACGTGTGTCCATGGGGGCAAAGACTCACCGGATTGCCATCATGACCTCTCTGGCCAGGCTCTCCCCGGTCTCCCTTGATGCCTGGCACACCCTGCAAGCAGATTTTCATGTCCTGAGCCTCCAGTCCTTGCCATGTACCCATGTACATATGCATACCACACCTGGTATGCCCCATACAGGAGGGGAAAACATGATAGGGTAGGTCTTACCCTGTCTCCTTTGGGGCCTTGGTCACCATCACTGCCTGGTTCTCCCTGTGGGGATGAGATGCCAAGTCAGTTACTGGTGCCATGGCAAAGGGTGGCCCTCAGGCTGATCCCACACTGACCTTAGCACCCTTGAGTCCAGGGGCTCCTTGTTCTCCAAAGAGTCCAGAACCTGGCCCATCTAGGGCCACCTACAAGCACAAGGTCATGGAGGAGAGATGAGTCTGTCACAGAAGAATGGAGGGATCACAATGGCCACAGGATTACAACATCATGGGGTTAGACACCACATAGAATTTCTCAGCCGCGAGCTAAGGGTAGCCTCCTGGTTGTTAGTAATAGGGCTGGAGTGATCACCTCACCTTTGGGCCAGGAGGGCCAGGAGGTCCAGGGGGGCCAGGAAGGCCATCTCTACCCTGCAGAAAAGAAAATAGGATGTCTACGCCAGCACAGCTCCCAAGCAGCCCCTGCTCATGGAGCCCCTCCTAGCTTACTTGGTCTCCACGTTCTCCTTTCTCTCCCCGTTCTCCCTGAAATGCAAATGGCAGGGTAAGGACTATGTCCATGGGGAACCCAGCTCCTCCTGGTCCCACTTCCCTAGCTCTCCTAGCCATCCCCCAGGCTCACCCTCTCTCCTGGTCTTCCTGCCTCTCCTGTACCCCCAGCCCTGCCTGGGAGCCCAGGAATGCCAGGCTTTCCAGGCTCTCCAGCAAGGCCAGCAGGTCCAGGGGGGCCCCTCTCCCCAAGGGCAAGGCCAGGAGGCCCCTGGGGGCCAGGGTCTCCACGATCTCCCTTCAGCCCACGTTCTCCAGGAAAGCCGATGGAGCCCTGGAGGAACAGAAGAATGAATGCTGGTAGCTGTATAACTGCCTCCACGGGAAATATCTGCTGTGCAGGCACCACTCATTCACCTCCTTGCCTGGGGGACCCCGCTCTCCCGGGTCCCCCTTGGGGCCGCGACTCCGTTCGGGCACAGGCAGAAAGCTGCCAGAGCTCTCATCCCAAGTCTGCATGATTTCCCTCAGGGAAGATGCCTGAAAAATAGTGAGAGGACAGAGAAACAGGGTCTATAGCTGCCACCACTTGGCCCTTTGGGCACTGCTTGCCCCATGGAACCCATAAGCTACTAACCTACCTTGATACCAATAGTTTCCAGCAACCGCTCCGCATTCTGGGAACACAGGGATGGTGAGGGCCTGCGCAAAAAAGAGAAGCCCCTACCCCCCACCCTACACTGTCCCCTAGAAAGAGCCTCCACACCCTCTTGTCCAGTGTACTCTTTAACCCTCTGCTGAGGCCTGACTTGAGGCTACCGGCAGCTTCTCTCTGGCCTATTGCCACTGCCCAAGTTCTCAAGAGTGTAGGTTACAGGAGTCCCAATGGGCCAGAGAACTGAGCACAGAGGACAGAACCCATGGAGCCATGTAGCAAGGAGAAGGGGACAGAGAGGTGGCCCCTTTGAGTATGCAAATGAGCAGCAAGGAGCAGGTCCCAAGGTTGGCTCACCACCATGCTCCCAGGTTCTCCTCTCAGACCGCGCTCTCCAGGGAGGCCCTGGAGACATCAAAAGACAGGCTGCTAGGACACAGCTTGGGGGTCATTGTACATATGTGGATGCCATGGCTACCTGGGCAAGTAAAAAAGGTGGGGGCCTCACCTGTTCCCCTTTGGATCCAGTCTCCCCACGGTCACCCTGAAAACAGAGAGTGATCAGGTGGGGAAAATGTCCCACAATCCTGGTCAGCCCCCACCCCATATACTCATACTCACCTTGGGCCCCACACTTCCTGGAACACCAGGAAAACCCTGATATATGAGAATGAAAAGGGGTTACACAGGATCATGGCATCCCAGCAGGATATCCCCCAGGGAACATAATGGCATCTTTTGCTCCCAAGTCCCAGAACTACCATGGGGTACTCACTTGGCCAGGAGGGCCAACCTGCCCTGGGAGACCTGGAGGGCCCGGGACTCCAGGGCTACCGGGAGCTCCATGCTCACCCTTGGGGCCATCGTGACCCTGTGGGGGATGCAGACAGCATCAGGACCCTGAAGCCCCAGGAAAAAGTAAAGCCATATCTCAGGGTCAGGATCAGGAGTCAGAGAATACAGAAAATTCCAGCACTCACTTCTCTCCCAGGAGCACCTGAATCTCCCTTCTCCCCCTAAGAAAGACATGGATTTTTTTAGACATGGCCCAATCTGAGACCAGAGCAGACCCCAGGAGAGTAGCTTTACCTTTCTTCCATCTTCTCCAGGGTCCCCAGGTTCTCCCTGTGGGCAGAAGATTCATATCAGACCAAACAGTCATTGGTGTCTGGCTGAAGGACACTGTCTCAGCAGATTTCAGATGACTGTGACTGCAAGTCTGTGCCTATAACTCCATGGCTCTGTGTGTCTTGGAGTGTGGCATGTTCTCATCTGAGTGAGCTGCTGCTGCATGTCTACCAGTGTGCCTACAGGGGCACGCTCACATCCAAGCGTACCTGCACACGTCCTCCTGCCTCCGACTCTGTAGATCTAACTCCACATCCATGAGTCTCAGAGGTGGTGAGTAACCCCCAGGTCCTAGGAATGTGTATATCCATGTGTCTTAGCATTTGTACCTGAGTCTGTGTGTCCATGTGTCCTGGAAGGTGACTGTGTGTCTCAGTCTGTCTGCTCATCTTGGCAGACTGGCACAATCATGTCTGATTGAGAGCATGGGCTTTCACACATATGCCCAGATCCCCAGTGTCTTGAGACCTATTAAGTCTTGGCATCTGTCTGCAACTCTTGCATGTATCTCAATGTGTGTGGTCATATGTATGTGGGTGACTGTAGATATATATACATGTGTCATTTTGCCTCCATATGTGTCACATGGCAGAGCCATGAATGTATATCTATGTCTCAACACAAGTCCACATGCAGTCCTGGGTCCATGTCACACAGATCTGAGTCCAAGTGGAAGTTCTGTGTGTCAACTTTTTTCCATGTGTTACTAAATGTGGCTTCATGCCGTGGTGTTTACACCTCTTGACTTGTGTCTGTGGCTCTTTACCTGAGCCCACTAGCTGTGGTTTATCTTAACACATATCAGCCTATCAAGACACAAGCTGACACATCCAACTAACTCATTACATGTCTGCAAGGTTACCTGTGCATGCACCTAGAACTACATTTCAGATGCATCTGCATGTCTGGGCTGGGTTTTCAAGTGTTAGTGTGTGCCTATGCATATCAGCACATGTGCCTTGTGTGTTATTGTCTGAGTATCTGAACTGCATGCATGCACTGGTGTTTCTTAGCTGATGCTGCCCTGGACACTCACATTTTTCCCATTCAGGCCAGGTTTTCCATCCTCGCCTGCCTTTCCCTGTGGGAATAGATCAGCAATCAGATGTCAGGGCTCAGGTGAGGGAAAGAAGGGATCAAGAGGGTAGCATAAAAGCCTGGACTCACCGGTGCTCCAGGGGGCCCAAGGGGCCCAGGGGGGCCCTGTTCTCCTCGGAGGCCAGGAAGCCCCTGGAAAAGTCTTTGCTAGGAATGACAGAGCCTCTGAGATGTCCCTTGGGACACACTCCAGGGACTGGGAGGACCTCACAAAGATCTTCCTCCACTGTAGAGACCCCCAGGATCAGGAGGTTCCATTGAGATCCACTGAGGCACAGACCCAGTGAGTTGGGGGCCCCTGCTGAGACTCCCAAGGGAAGAACCCCAGAACTTGGGGCACTATTAAGTTCCCCAAGGCAAAGAAGGTCAGGAAGGGGTCTTGCTAAAGCCTGTTGCCAAGGGCCTGAGACCCCTTCCAAATATAGGGCAGGACCAACTACCCCTGCTCTCACTGATGCTGTGACTATGACATGTCTGGGGCTTATACTGGACCCCTGAGCCACCCTCTGTCTCATATCTCCCTTCACTTACATCTCTCCCTGGGTCCCCAGCTTTGCCTGCAGCACCCTGAGGAGAGACTCAAAGTTAGGACCATAATAAGATGAGGGTCCGCACCTGCTGCGAACCCAAGGCCTCATGGCAGTGGTATGCTTTTCCCAGGCAGGGTTCTGGGAAGAGACATAGCTAATACATCTGGTCCCAGAGCTCAAGACTACGACCAGCCAATGAGGTCTCAGGCCCTCTTGTGAAGGGGATGACCAGAAGTGATTACGATGACTCACATGCAGCCCAGGGGGGCCAGGGGCTCCTGGCTTTCCATCTAGCCCACTCCGGCCATCCAGCCCAGGGGGGCCCCGGTCACCCTGAGGAAAACAGAATAGTAAGAGACCTTGTAGGCTGAAATGGATCTGAGAGCCAGGCATACCCACACCCTCTCACCTTTTCTCCTACTGCGCCTCGGACACCTGGGTCTCCCTAGAGCAAACAAGGTCAGTTAAGAGGTGAGAGTGAGATGGGGACTTAGGCTGAGTGGGTAAAGTACAGCACTCACCTGTGGTCCTGGTGGCCCCCGCAGCCCATCAATGCCCTAGGACAGAGGGAGGAAGAATCAGAGCAGGCTTTTCCAGTCCCACACCCCCTGACAGGGCCAACCACACTCACTCTCTCCCCAGAGGCTCCAGGGGGGCCGGGGTCACCCTTGGGTCCTCGAGGACCTTCCTGTCCACGGTCCCCAGGCTCTCCCTGTGGCAGAGACAGGCTTGCTAAGGGAACAGCCCCTGAGCCCCAAGGCACACCTAAGATAGGTCCTGTCAAGAAGGGCATTGGGATCTTTCCTATACTCACAACTTCACTCCACCCACAGACCCCAGTACCTTTTCTCTGGCTCCAAGTCCTGCATCTACCTGTGGGGGAATGACAAGTGAGAAGGAAACTTCAACAAGAGGAACTTGTCAGTGAGGGGCTATGAGGATCAGTGGAGGTGTTGGGGTAACCATGGAAGAAGTGGAAGGGGTGAGAGGATAGTGTGGAGTCAACAGAGGCAGGTGAAAGAGATGGCAGAGGACTAGAGCGAGTTCAGTGCTTACCAGTCGTCCAGGGGGACCTGGAGGGCCCTGGGAAAGGAAACAATTATAATTAACAGGACCCCTGAGGTCCCAAGGCATAGTTCATGTTTGCCCTGGGCTCAACTGTATGCCCAAATTCCCAATAGCACCCCCAAATGCCAATCCCCAGAAGGTAGACCAGGACTGGGGGTGGTCATAAGTGCTCCCCTTCTGTGGACACTGGCCACTTCTGGCATCAGCACCAATGAAATCTCCATCCTATCAGAACCCAGGCCCAGTACCACTCACCGGATCCCCACGGTCACCCTTGGGTCCTGATGGTCCTGGGCTGCCCTGCAGAAAGCCAGGGATAAGGGTCATTCAGGGAAGACAGCAGTTTTGGAGAGATGAGGAAGCACCATGAGGACTCATGGGGTCCTGGTGGCTTTGAAAGATTGTAAGGGTTAGCATTTCAGGGCTGGGGTGGCAGGAATGGGAACTGGAAATTGGATGGTTGGGAGTTGAGGTGAGGTTAGGGGTAATGGGTCAGAGTTGAGGACTCACATTTCGTCCATCCTCTCCAGGATCGCCCTGGTCTCCCTTTTCACCTACAGGTCCCCGGGCTCCAGGCGCCCCCTAAGAAGAGCAGCTACTCTGAGACAAACTCCTCAGCATTTTGAAAGCTCCCCTATGAGTCCCTAAACTTCCCCATGCTTTCCATCACTCCAAAATTCATGCCAGAGTTTCCTATCACCCCAAGCTTCTAGGTCTCTCATCAATCACCCCTCACTCCCCAGTATTTCCTATCACCTTCTTGACTATAGGGTCTCCCCTTCCCCGCTTCCCTCTCTCTGTAAAGGCTCACCCGAAGGCCACGCTCTCCTGCTTTTCCAGGCAAACCTGGGTCACCCTGGGAATGGAGAGAAAAGTTGTTTTGTGAGGTAGAAAAGGGTCTAACTAACTCAGGGAATAGGGGTAGAGAGCGTCTGGGAACCAGCTGAACATAATACAGGAGACAGACTAGATGACCTGGTGAGGTCCCCCAAAGCCTTGGGACCACAGCTCAAAGGTAAAGGATCAGAAATCACAGTGGGGAGGAGTCTTACCGGGGGACCCTCGTCACCTTTCTCACCAGCTTCACCCTGTGAGACATGAGAGTCAGCCCTGGTTCCATGACCCCAGTGATGCTGGTAACACCTTTACTTCCTTATTCCCATAAGTCCCCCAATTCCAGTCTCTTACATCTCGTCCTCGGGGGCCAACAGGTCCTGGAGGGCCAGGTCGCCCAGCATCTCCCTTCTCTCCAGGAGTTCCTGAGTTACCCTGTGGGGGAGACAAGAGTGAGGTGATGAGAATGCATGCAATAGGCAGCCTTTGAGAAGAGGTAAGCTCAGAAACACTGAGGTTATTCCAAGTCACAAATACTCACCGGGGGTCCTGCTCTGCCAGTGAGGCCAATGGGACCCTGAGACATTAGGAAGGGGGGGACGGTACTTAGTCAAGACTCCCAGTCACCACCTCTTCTCCCTCTGTCACACACCCCCACCGCATATTTATATACCTGGTCTCCAGGGTCTCCCTTGGGGCCAGGGTCTCCAGGAAGAACCAACCCAGGTAGGCCCTATGGATAGAAGCATCAGAAGTAAAGAGGGTATAACCTTCTCCTGCCCCATACCCTAAACACCTTCCCTCACTCACCTGTTCCCCTTTGATCCCAGCAGCTCCTCTGGGCCCAGCGGGACCCACATCTCCCTGAAGGTAACAAAGACCATCAGTGGTACTCCACAGCCCAGAAATCACACTGTAACACTTGTGACTTCCAGCCAGGCAGAGAGATAGGTCCTATGACCTTGGCCTCAACTCTGAAACAACCTCACCTCCCCTTACCAAATATACCTTTTCTCCTTTGGCTCCAGCACCATTAGGACCCTAAAAACAAACGAGATAGGCACAGCTTGGTCCAAGCCTAGATTATACAGGACCAAAGACTTGTTGGGATAGGGGTTATATAGAACTGGAAGTCATAGTCTCTGCCCAGAGGTCACAGGGTCACCAATGAGAGCAGGGTATGAGTTATACAAATGAGTTAACACTAAGCTTGTAATCAGTATGGTGGTTATGGGATCAGCTAGGGTTCCAAAGGCAGGGTATAGCATAAGGAGAGTCACAGAGCTCAAGTCTCTCCAGAGTTCCAGGGTTGTGGAGTCACAGCCTAAAACAGTGGTTTACAGCTACAGGTGAGCTGGGTTCAGGGTCCCATCCTCCCCTCGCTCACCACCACTGCAGGGTCCCCAGGGCGACCAGGCTCTCCCTGTACAGACAGGATAGAGGCAGGGACAGGTCAGAAACTCACCTAGGAACTCAAGGTTCCAGTGTCCCACCTGCCACAACCCTGCTGTCAGATGACACAACCCCCAGTCCAAGACCCACCTTCTCTCCTCGGCGACCAGCGGGTCCTGGTGGCCCCTATACAAGGACAGAGTGTGAGCTCAGGAGAGTATCATGAGGAAGCACAGGAAAGCCCCACTCCTAGTCCCACCACAGTCACAGTCTCACCTCAGGACCCTCAGCTCCAGGACGTCCAGCAACCCCAGGTGGCCCCTGAGGAAGAAAAAACAGAAGTGCTGCTCCAGGTGGATGGGGCCAGGAGGATTATGGGCAAACAGGGGGTAGACGTGGGGATTGGGGATGGAGAGGAGGGATCATAGAGGATCAAGATTTATGTTGGCAGGAGTCAAACTCAGCGGGACAGAGACCAGGTCAGTGAAAGCCAAAGTTGGTTTAGCTGAGGGCTGGCAGAGTGGCTCAAGTGGTACAGTGCCTGCCTAGCAAGTGCAAGGCCCTGAGTTCAAACCCAGTACTGCCAAAAAAAAAGCAAAGTTGGTTCAGCTGAGTCAGAAAGTTAAATGCCAGGTCTGTGGAGTCAAGGCTAAGGCCTGCATCAGTAGGGATTAGGAGTCATGTGAAGATGGATGGAGGTCAGGGGCAGTGGGAGTTAAGGGCAAGAAGTCAGAACCAGGAGAGGGCAGAGTCCACAGGTCAGTTGGCATTGAGGTCAGTGGGCTTACCTGAGGTCCCACTGAGCCAGGGAGTCCCCGTTCGCCCTGATGAAACAGAAGAGGTCAGAGGTCAGAGGTCTGGCTCCAGATCCTCCCAGGTCTCCCAGGATGCACTTACTTTTTCTCCAGTCTCACCCGGTGTCCCTGTCAGCCCTCGGTCACCCTAAGAAGAGAAGGATGGTAAGAGAAGGATCTTGACTAGTGAACCCCAAACAAGATGCCTCAGTTTACAACCATACCCCTCTGAAACCATAGCCTCTCACTTAGACAAACCCTTATTTCCTGACCTCTTAACTGGTACTCACTTTGAGGCCAGTAGCTCCAGGAAGTCCCCTCAGGCCCTAAAAGGCATGGATTTGGGAGTTCAGAGATTTTGTGTGTCGGGGAGGGAAGGGGGGGCTGGGGTTTGAACTCAGGGATTCACACTTGAAAAGCAAGTGCTCTGCTGCTTGAAGCCACACCTCCAGTTCATTTTGCTCTTGTTATTTTGGAGATGGGGGTCTAGGAAACTATTTCCCCAGGTACTCTATCCCTTGACTCACACCTCCGGTCCATTTTGCTCTGGTTATTTTGGAGATGGAGTCTCATGCACTATTTGCCTTGGCTGGGCCTCAATCTGAGATCTTCCTGATCTCAGCCTTCCAAATAGCTAGGATTATAGGTGTGAGCCACTGGCTCCTGGCTTAGTTCAGAGTTTAAGTTTGGGAACAAGTGTGGAGTAGGGGGTTGATGCCCACCACATTCAGAACCCATGGCCCCTAACTCACCGGCTCACCCGGGGTCCCAGGTTGTCCTGGGAGGCCTGGGACTCCAACCTCACAATCACCCTGAAGGATAAACATATGGTGGAAAGACCCAGGGGAGGCCATGCCCCCAGCACCCAGCCTCCTGCTCCAGAACTGGGACACCCAAAGGTCAGGTTTCCTACCTTCTCTCCTTTCTCTCCAGAGGTGCCAACTGGGCCTTGGGGTCCAGGACTTCCAGGAATGCCCTAGGAGGAAGTGAGTAAACATGTAAGCCAAGAACAATTAAGCCCAGTCCCAACCACAGCAGAACCTCCCATCTACCCACAGCCTTCAGCAAGTTCCCTAGCAGAGCCTCAAGGCCCCCTCACCGGCAGCCCCGGCTCCCCCTGTGCAGTGCCACCAATACCTGGTCCAGGGGGACCCTAGAAGAGAATGACAGGTCAGGGGATGACCAGGAGAATCAAACTCCAAGCCATCCCCAGCATACCTTGTCCTTCACTTACCCGTTCCCCACGATCACCTTTGTCACCCTGGAAGACAGATCATAACCCCATGACTCTGGACCATATTTCCTTCCCCAAGATACCAGGATGGGGGAGAGTCATGGAGTTAAATGGGATTGAAGGGATCATTGGGGAACTGGGGAGTCAATGGCAAAGGTGGGAGTCAAAGGTCAGGACAATCAGTAGGGTTTGTATGGGCTTCAATGGGGTAACCACGTCTCTGAATCACATGAAGGTCGTAAGACCTTATGTGAGTCATGCTGTCACCTTCATGGCTGTTCCAGGAAGCCCTGGGGGACCACGAGGTCCCGGGTCCCCTAAAGGGCCACGAGGTCCAGGGGGACCCTGATGGAGGAAACAAAGCACAGGTGTAATGCACACACTTCACTCTCACTCCCCTGCTGGTGCCCCACACCACTTGCCTCCACATACCCTGGGACTTACCGAAGGTCCAGGGTCCCCTTTCCTCCCAGGAATCACTGATCCCTCGCCTCCTATGACTTGCCCAGGCTCCCCCTGCAGGTGCAGAGAGGTGGGCAGGATTCAGAATAGATGGAAGCCCCTAGAGATACCCCAGCTATTCCTTACCATGCCTTAGACCCTGCACAGAGCCTGGTCTGGAGCAACCGTGCTTCTCCCTGGAACACCCTGGCCCCTCTTCCCCCTTCACCTACCGGCTCTCCCTTTGGGCCTCGAGGTCCTCGCTCTCCCTGAGGACAAAACAGAGTAGAGGGTAGTGCTTAGCCTCAGGTAAGTCTCAGGGTGGTTCCATGGGCCAACAGCGCCCCCTACCCCAGGCTCCCCACCCTGTACAACCCTGGGAAGGCACTGGGAAAACAGACAAAGGAGGATACTTACAGGTTCCCCACGAGGACCATTCCACCCTGGGGAGCCCTAAAAATGGAGGCCAGAGTCACAACAGTGAGGACCACCTGCCCTCTCAAGCAATTGCCCCATCCCACCATGACCAGCAAGGGCAAGGCTTCTTAACTTCTTTTTATTTTTGGTGGCACTGGGGTTTGAACTCAAGGCCTCCCACTTGTTAGGCAGTGCTCTACCTTTTGAGCCACTCCACCAGCCTAAGGCTTGCTTACCTTCACACCAGGCGTCCCAGGGGTCCCAGGAGTCCCAGGAAGGCCAGGGCTGCCTGGAGGCCCTTCTGCTCCAGGAAAACCCTAAATAGGCAAAGAGATCAGAGCAGAAAAAGATCCTCTCCCACTGCCCTGATTTTCTTGAGGAATACCACTCTACTAACCAGTGCTCCCACCTCACAAGTCCCAAGTGTTATCAGGGGTAGAGCAGTGGGGTAGTGAATGGCTGCATGGAGCACAAGGCAGTGAAGAGGCTGAGGCCCAAGCTCTTCAGGGGATCTCAAAGCTCTCTAGCCCTCTACTTCAGAGCCTCCCCAAATCTCCATTGTGGCTTACAGTCTCCACTTAGGCTTCTAGAAATACCCCCATGGTTTTAACTGCTTCTTTCTTCTTCCTCCTAAAACCCCCAAGAACACTATGAGGTGCACCCTGGGAGAATCTCCATGGCCTCCTCACTCACTCTTTCGCCTTTTGCAGCAGTTCTTCCAGGGGGACCTTGAGGACCAGGAGCACCAGTCCTGCCCTGAGAGAGGAAAGCATGTTAAGGAGACAATAAGCCAGTCAGGGAAGAGACAAGTGTAGAGAGGTACTTACTGGAAGGCTGGGGGGTGGGGGACAGGTGTGGAGAAGTACTCACTGGGAGGCCGGGGGGGCCAGGAGACCCAGCTTGTCCCTTCAGGCCCTAGAAAAGGCAATCAGTGAGTTCTGTGCTGCCAACCAGCCCCTGCCCGCTGTCACTTAACCCATTCTCTATCCCCACAAGGCCACTCACCATTACTCCAGGTTCTCCCTTCTGGCCCTGGGGAAAGACATGTCAGATGAGGGTCACAGGCTCATGAGTGGCTAGGCTCATGTGTGGCCTTTGCCCATTCATGCAATCCTGGATCCTTACCTTTGGACAATGCACGGAGCAAGGCTCTGGCTGTGGCTGTGGACACAGGGTCTCTTTGAAGTCAGGCAATTCTCCTAAAAGCCCCCCATACCCCCTCTTCTCCACCACCAGTCACCCAGAAGCCTGTCCAAACCTGAGTAGCCATGGCTGCCTGACACAGGGCTACTGCCAGATCACTGACTGCCCGATCCAGGCTTGGACCATCATCCACAGCAAAGAAGTTCTGGACAGGGTCCATGCCTGACACCAAGCGACGCAGCTGCTCTGGGTCAGCTCCCGCCAAGCCCAACATCATCATCTTGAGCCCTAAGGAGGGGTCCAGCAACCTGCATGACAATCCCACTGTGGCCACCCCTATTCCCAGGCTCCATCCCCACCAGCCTTACTCCTCACCAGAAGCCTGGGCCTCACGAATAGGGCTGAATGTGTCACCTCTCACTGGCTCATCCACTAGCAGAACCATCACCCCTGGCACTTGCTGACGGCGCCCAGGAGCGTCAGGCGCCAGCAGATATCTGTGAGCTGTGACTACAGCTGTGCCTGAGGGGAAGGAGTCAGAACCCTGGGACATCAAGCTTCTGATGGAGAAACCCCAGGTGTCCACGTCAACTTCAGTCCTTACCCAAGTTGTTTCCACTTGGGTCCATATAGGGGATATCACGGATCTTCTGCAAGATGATGCCAAGATCATGGGAACTATTCAGGGTGAACAGTGGGGAGGGCCGGTAACTGTAGGACAGCAGGCCAACCTAGGATGGGGAGAGACACAAAGCCTGAAGCAATGAAAGAGCAGGGATGTAGACACACAGAGCCTGAAGAAACAGACATGGGGAGGGGTATCCTGACTAAACCTGAACTGTTTATTAGGGGGTCAGTAATGACGGTAGGATAGGAGCCAACCAGCAGGTGAGATGATCTAGAACCTAGTGAGGGAGCTAGAAGAAAGCCTGAATCTATAGTGGGGCAGAGAGATTGTGGGTGAGAGCCTGGGGTGAGGGGGCCAGAGACATGTAGCACCTGGCTGCCTCAGAGTCACACCTGGGCAGCCTGTGGCCCAAGAGGCCCAAGTGCAGACACCAGCCGCCCCAGGATCCGCTTCACAGATTCTGCACGGTGAGCATTGTCTCGAGTGGTATGCAGCAAGAACACCACGTCCACCAGGCCATGGAGACATGCTGCAGGAAGGAGCTAAGTTACTGACCTGGTCAGCCCATCCAGCAGTCCTCTTAGGCCTCTCCCCTATGTCCTCTATACCTGGGTTCTGTGTGACAGAGGCCTCAGGACCCCGTACTCCCCTCTGAACAGGTGTCAGGGTGAAGATATAGGAAACACCAGGCTCTAGGCCTGTCACCCTCTGGGAGTTTGAGATCCCTGGAAGTGTCTGTGGAGCCTCAGGCACTTCTGTATAAAAGAACTTGGTTACACAGGAGGTCATTCATGGAGCCCCAATTGCCAGCCCTCCTGTACCCTGACCTTGCTCTCACCCTGGCCAGTTCCTCTGAGTGGCCGCCAAGATAAGATGTAGCTGGATGCCCCTGGCACTGGGTTCCAGGCTAGTGTCACTGAGTTTATGGAGGTGTCCACCACACGTAGTTCAGTGCTCGGGACATGAGGCGATTCTAAAAGACGAATCAAAGATCAAGTATCAAAAGCTGGGCCCTGAGAACCAGAGGAGAGAGATACAAAATCCTGGAGAAAGTTCAGTTTAATGAAGTGTCAAAGGGGGTCATGCTGGGATCATTACAGGGTCACCAGGTGGGGGGTCTACAGGAGCTACTTAGAGGTGCAGGAAATCAGGGTGGGTCATCAGTGGGAGATAAGAGCACACCAAAGCAAGGTGGGCCCTCTGGCTCACCAGTATGTGCAGTCACCTCCCTGGGGGGCCCTTCTCCAGCTGGCCCCAGGGCACTCAGCCACACATGGTACAGTGTTGCTGGCTCCAGTCCGTCCAAGTGGTAGCTGCTGAACTCAGGTCCCAGGACTCGGGATTGCTCCTGGCCACCTGGAGCAAGCATGAGGGTGGGAGCCAGGACATGTGGGAGGATGCTACATATCAGCGCTAATGGATTCACCCACCTCAGGCCTCACTGGCTGTGCTGACTGGGTCCCTCCTGCTGTTGCATTTTCCTCATTCTCTATGACCTCATTGGATCTGGTTCTTCCACCTCATTGATTAAATCTCACCTACTGTCTGAGGTCCTGCAGACCCCACCCCACACTAACCTCACCACTTCACTTACTCCTCCCCTAACTTCCTACCAGGGCATCTCTTACCCTCAGCTCGCCAACGCAAACGGTAGCCATGTGCTCCAGGTACCCGCTCCCAGCGAAGCCTCAACGAGTGCTCCCCACGCTGCACGACGTGAAGAGTCTCCAGGGCAATTGGAGCCTCGCGAGCTAGAGAGAAAGAGTGGGGAATCGGGGTTACATCCCCACTGGCCCCTGCACCAATCCCACACACGCACCTCCTACCCCACAGCCTATCCAAGGCTTCTTTCTTTCCCTTCTCATAGGCCCTACCCCCACAGCCTCACTATTAATTGCGGGTGTCTTTTCTAAACCCAAGCACAAAAGCCCAGCCCCTAGACTCTCCAAGTTCCGATCCAAGACTCCCTCCAGCCCAAGCTCCACCTACGCGTGGTGACGACAATGGAGACAGGTGAGCCCTCTCGGTCCCCAACAAGTGCAGTCACTCGCACGGAGTAGCTGACGCCGCCTTCGAGACCCGGTATCTCTGCTGAATCTGTGTTCCCTGGGAGCATCTGGTGTCTTGTGGGACCACCTGGCCAGGTGAGAAAAAAGCAACCATCAGGGGTGGTATAGCTAACCAGAGGGGCAATTCCAGCCAGGAAGGAGAAAGGTGGAGTCAAGGAACCATACCTTCACTTCGGCTCCAAGACAGTCTGTAGGCTGTGGCTCCAGTGACCCCTACCCAGGTGACCCTCAGAACGTCGCTGGAAGCATTGAGGATCTGCAGTTTTGACACACTGCCCACAGGCTCTGGGACTAGGGACAGAGACAAGGTAGGGAATCAGAGGCCACTGGGTATCTGGCATACAGCAGGGTGGCAGTGCAGGCATGGTTAATGCAGGGAAGTCTGAAGGTGAGATGAGGTCAGTATAGATGGATCAGTGTAGGAAGCCTTTAGTAGGGGGAGGTCAATATTTCAGACTGGGCAGTGTGGGGCAGATAAGAGGTCACTGTAAGTGGACATTTAGTCAACATGGGGTAATTCAACATGGACAGAGCCGTCACTGAGCAGCAATGGAGTGGGCAGTTGGAGCAATCAGGAAGGCATAGCAGGGTGGGTTAGATAATGAGGTGTGAATAGCAGCTGGCCAGGCCCACTCACCAGTCCTCACAACCACAGAGGCAGGGGCTCCATCCACGCCAGCTACGTGGGCTCTCACATGCACTGTATACTCGGTATCTGGTTCCAGTCCATCCAGCTCAGCCACCGTGGCCTCCCCAGAAGTCAGCTGGGATTTCTCTGGGCCTGGGAACAGGGATAGAAGTAGTTCCAGGGTTAGCCAGACTCTGTGCCCAGTACCCCATCTGAACCCCCAAGAAACCCTGGCCCCCATTCTATCTAGACCTGCTTCCCACGACCCTGCCAAACCCCTGGTACCCACCTTGGCCAGAATGCCAGGAAACCCTGTATCCTGTGGCACCCGGAACCCTGCTCCAGGCAATGGTGACAGATGAGCTGCCAGCCTGAGTCACATGGACTGTCCTCACTGGACCTAGTGGGTCTGGAAAGAGAGGCAATGGGGAATCTGATGGGGGAGACAGGAGAGGGACTGGAGGGTGAAGTAGGGAGGACCATCTGATAAGAGAAGGCTATAGGAATCTAACAAGAGGAAGGGATCTGATAGAAGAGGTAGAAAATGGGTTAGATGGGAAGAAGTAGGGGTCCTAACAGAAAGGATAGTGGGAAGAATCTGAGCTGTCAAGTGGTAGGAATCTGAGAAAAGGTCTGACAGAGGAAGGGGTTCTGACAGAAGCATTAGGAGGCAGTGAGGGTGTCTGGCCAAGGAGAAAGTGTAAGTCTAAGGGGAGAGCTGAGTCCAGCAATAAAGAAATAAAGTGGTAGGAATGAGGGATGACTAGTGGAAATCTGAGAGCAAAGGCAGAAATCTGAAGAAAGGGGAAGCTTAAGAGGAGGCAATGGAGGCAGAGGGAGGAAGCAGGGGCTCTCGGAGAGGAGGCAGAGGAAATGTCAAGGGGGAGACTGGAGTTCTGAAAGGGGAGACATGGGAGTCAGAAGGGGCACTAGAGGCAGAGAACCGAGGGACTGGGTCAGGCTCTGACCAGTTCTAGCCACGATGACCACAGGAGGGCCTTCTTCTCTCCCTTGAAGTGCCGACACAGACACCCGGTAGGAGGTTCCAGGCTGCAGCCCCAGAATGTCTGTGGCAGTAGAATCTGGGGGCAAAGTCTGGCTGGACTCTGGACCTAGGATAAGAGGGAAATGCTGGCCTGGTTTCTGCCTGTCCCCTCAGCCCCCTCCATACTCTGACCATTCCCCTCAGCAATTCTCCCACCCATCCCACACTGACCATTGCCTGTCCTCCAGCTAATCCGAATTCCACTGGCTCCAGGAACAGGTTCCCAGGCTACCCTTACTCTTGTTGCATCTGATGCCACAACCTGCAGTCCTGAGACAGCAGGTGGGGTTTCTGGCTCTGGGGGTTAAAGATAAGAGTCAGGGGTCAAGACCTGAATAGGAGTGAGTCAGGCAGATATGCCTCATAAACTTCCCACAGTGCTCACCTCGGCGGATAGTGAGGACGCTGGCACCACCCTCCTGGGTGCCCACTCGAGCAGATATCCGCACAGTGTAACTAAGCCCAGCCCGAATGTCATCTAAGTCAAAGGCTGTCTGACTCCCAGGAAGCACCAGGGTCCGCTCAACTCCTGAGAGAAGACACGATCAGTGAGCAAGGGTCAGTAAGAGACAGGGATGTGGGGACTAGCAGAGTGACTCAAGTGCTAGAGCACCTGCCTAGCAAGCATGAAGCCCTGAGTTCAAACCCCAGTACTGCTAATGAGAGAGAGAGAGAGAGAGAGAGAGAGAGGCTGGACAACAGCAGCCAGCTGGTGATGGATAGGGATGGATACAGGATGAGAAAGTTCACGGGAGATATAGGATGGGGGGGTGGCAGTGAGAAATGGCATACAGATGAGGACATGGGGTAAAAGGGACCAGCAATGGGTGGCAACACAGGACAACAGGCCAGTGATGAATGGAGATACTTGTTGATAGGGGTTGATGGATAGGAACATGGAATGTAGGAGTCAATGGACAGCAATGGGAGTCGACAGGTCATTGATAGACATTGACGTGGGATGATGGCTATCAGTGTTGGATGAAGACATGAGAGGAGAGGTTAATAACTAGTCATTAACTAGGGTAATCCTAGGCGGTCATAGAACTGTGGTTGCGGAGAAGGCAGGGCGAAAGCCAGGGACAGAGATATGGGACAAGGAGTGGAGACAGAGTCAAGTAAGGACACAGGCTGGGGCAGGAGAGAGGGTAGACAGACCCTGAAACAGCCTTGAACTACCTCTTGGGAGGTAGCGAAGAGGCTGTAGGGACCCAGAGGAAAGAGATGGGACATGGGTACAATCAGATCCTGTAGGCTGGCACTTTAATGTGTGTGCAATTTTATGTCTGCCTCCACCTTACCCTGGGTACTGCGCACAGTGATGCGGTATTCAGTGGCACTGGGGACTGGGCTCCAGGTCACTCGCACCCGCTGCCCAGGCAGTTCGGTCGCTTGTAGGTCCATCACAGGGCCCACGGGCCGCTCTGGTCCTGTTGGAGAGCACAGCATGAGAGGAAGCCTGGAGCCCCCATACTTTCCCTAGTCACTTGGCCAGACAGAGCCCTCACCAGTGGGGACCACAGTTGCAGGAGTGGCCACCTCGTGGCCCTCCAGTAGAGTGTAGAGTGTGAGACGATACTCAGTGCCTGGCTGCAGTCCATCCAGCTGATAGCGGGTCACGTCAGAGGGCAGCACCACCTTCTGTGGTGGCTCCAAGCCTGCAAGATGACAAGGTCAGGCCAGCTAAAGCCAAGCCCAGACCCCTGCCCACACATTCCTTTTCCAGCACTGACCACTCTCACGACGCCACTCCAGCCGGTAGCCACGGGCCTCAGGCACCAAGTTCCAGGAAACGAGGATGGATGTGGGGCCCAAGATGACAGGGTGCAGGGTCTGCTCAACAGAGGAGTCTGCCCAGAGCACAGGGGATGTAAATGACCTGTGCACCCTGCCCTGCCTGCCCACCCCCACCTGAAGAAAGCACCCAGCCTTCTCACCAGTGCGGGCAGTCAGGGAAGTAGCAGGCCCCACGCTATGGCCAAGTAGTGTGCTCACAGTCACCTCATAGTCCATGCCAGGCTCCAGGTCATGCAGCAACAATGACCCCTGTCCAGGGCTCAGCTCCTGCTGCTGTGTTGGGCCACCTACACAGGGGCACAGAGGGGTGAGTGGGCCATGCAGAATCAAGACTCTACAATCTTTTCCGAACTATAGGGAGTCTCCTCAGCCCACACTTTTCACTTACCCCTGAGGACCCGCCATGTCACACGGTAGCCAGTGGCACCTGGCACCCTCCGCCAGACCACCAGGAGGCTGTGGGCTGTTGTGTTCTGGATGGTCAATTCTAGCCCTTCCACAGCAGCTGAGATAAAGTCCCACCAGGGATTAGTAGAGTCAAGAGTGGACAGGGGTTACAGGGCTGAGAAGTTAGGTAAATGGGGTTAGAGGTTGACAAAGTTGCTCACTGGTCCGAGCTGTCCCGCTCACAGCTTCCCCGATGCTATTGGCGTAGAGGGCAACCACCATCACTTGGTACTCAGTCAGTGGCCTGAGACCCTGCAGCTGCATGCTGGTCTCACCAGCTGGGACGTTCACCTGCCCAGGGTCAGAGGTCACCTTATCTTGTCCAGCCAAGTCCCCAGCCACCCACCTATCACTTCTGATGTCCTTACCTCCCGCCGTTCGCTTGGCAGTGGTTGTCCTAGCCCTGTCAGGGGGGTGTACTGGATCTTATAGCCAGTCACAGGGCCACTAGCTGCTGTCCACTGTACTCTCAAGGATTGACTGCTTGGCTCAGACAACACCAGGTCCCGAGGACCAGATGTGGAGTCAGCTGTGAATGGGGGAAATCAGGTAATCAGGCAAGCAGGTCAGACATTGGAAGCACTTGGGGTGGATTCAGCACTTCCAGGCTGGGGTTAGGAGGTGGGGCCCAGGAACTCACGAGGCAGCGTTACAGGCACACCACCAGCAGTTGTGCACACTCTCCGGGAAATGAGGGGTAGCAGTGTCCTCAAGATGCTGAAGTCGTTGACGAAGAAGAAGAAATCACTGGTCGGCTGGGAAGCAACTCGTTTCAACTCCTCAGGATCAGCATTCTTAATTCCTGAGGTGATGATCAATCAGGGCTCAGTTACCCACATGTCTTCTGAATGGTCCCCACCCTGCCTGACCTCTCACCCCAGCTCAGAACTCACCCACAGCGAACAGCTTGACCCCCTGCCCCTTCAGCCTCTCAGCAGCTGTATCCACCAGGTCCTGGGACTTTCCATCTGTGATCAGGATACAAACCTGGGGCAGGCAACAGGGGTCATCAGAGCTGTCGCAGACACTTATTTTGGTGTCACCTTGTGAGGAATGGTAGGTTAGGTAGGGGTTACCTTGGGGATGCCAGGTCGGAGCAGATGGGGCAGGAAGACATGATCAGACACATGGAGAAGTGCAGCCCCAGTGCGAGTATTGCCCCCCTTGTAGCTGAGTTCACGGATGGCACGGATTGCATCACCACCAGAGCTGAGTGCATCTAGGCTAAACTCTGTCCTGGTGGAGGGAAAGGGGGTGGCAAAAGGTAAGGGGTCATGACCTCTTCCAGCCCTGGCCTCTCAAAGGCCTCTGGGGTGAGGCCTCTTGAAAGGTGCCCTTGATTGTGATTCCTACCCCCCATCACTGAAGCCTCCAGGTTAATAAACTCCTTAAGTTTTCCTCTGTGTACCACCTATGGCTGGCCCTGGGCAGGCCTGAAGCCCTTGGGGTTCTTGGCCTATGGGGGAACAGGATGTCTGGTTAAATAACTACAGGAGGAAGGGCCCAGTTGTAGGAAGGTGGACACTGGCCAGGCAGGAAGCTGTTCTGGTGAACAGAAAGGCTGAAGGGATCAGGGAGCTAGAACACAGAGAGTCCATAGGCACTGGGCATCTGGAGCACCAGGCCCCCCACTGCCTGGGCTCTCCAACTCCATCCAGATCAGAAAACAGAGACTCATTATGTTGGGCAGGGTACTAGCCTGGAGGTTTCAGGGCACCGACCCTCTTAGGAGTTGAATCATGACATCTATCTCCAGAGGAGGTCCTGGCAGGGACTCGCTGGGCTCCTGTTTCTGGAAGAACCTAACCTGGAGTTTTCTGCCCTTTCAGTCTAGAGGAAAGGCTCTTCATGGGGAATTCTATGGTCCTCGCCCCCAGGGCCACTACTCACCGTGGGTCATCACTGTACTGCACTGCAGCAAAGCGCACACCCTGTGCACTGGCTGCCCCAGAAAAAGGCAGCACCAGTCCCTCCAGGAAGCCTCGTATTTCGCGGAAGTTGCTGCGGCCAATGGATGAGGAGCCGTCCAGAAGGAACACGATGTCAGCGGCATAAAGTCGCGTGCAGGTCACTGGAGCAGGGAGGAGAGATCAAGACCTTTTCTAAGAGCCCACTCATCCTCCCCCGGGCACTGTGGACCCTTGGGACTGGGGACGAGGTGGAGAGCAGGTCTCATCTGCTTATGCAAACCCGGCTCAGATAGGCGAGGACTTGGGAGGCTTGGCGAGAGCCACAGTGGGGCCCAGAGCAGTCTCCTGCGGAAGGCTGGGGCATGCGGGGGAGGGAGACTTGCCCGCACGGGTGTGGATCTAAATTGTCAGCCTCAGGGGCCAGCGCCGGGTGACAGAGGGCAGGGGATTCCGCATGTATCTGGGGAGACAGACTTTGGGTTCGAACAGGATAGGAGGCGATTTAGGGAATTCAGCACGGGATTCAGAGTCTGGGAAGAGTTAGAAGGAATCTGCAGGGGGTGGTTGAGATGGAGGGTGTCAGGAATGAAGACGGAGTGCAGCCATGAGCGACAGGACGTAATGCCGGAAGGGGTCTTTCCTAGTAGTGCCCACCTCTCTCCCTGAGCTGTGCCAGCACTGGCGCCAAGATCCCAGCGTAGAGCGCGGCCACCAGGAGCGGCAGCCTCATCCTGGGTGATAGAAACGGTCAACCAGGACCCCCACCGTCCCTTGCCCCTTGTACTGGCGGGTCAAGGCCCTGTACCCCAGCTCCCACACACACACCCGGGGTTCGGATCTTGCCTGCGCATCCGCCTGCTCCAGCCGCCGCCGCTGCAGTCCCGCCGGCACGGAGGAGAAAAGTCCCTGATCCCAGGAGGCGGAGCGGCAGGCGGGGACCCAAGTAGCCCGCCCTCACCCACCTCCCCAAGAGGTCGCCACCCTCCACCCCCTCTTCTCCTGGACAGATGATATGACGCACTTAAGTGCAAAAGCCCCCCTCCTGTGACTTGTGGGAATCCCCAGGCTCTTGATAGATGCTGAGGAAGCACCCCAACCCCATTTAGGGTCTCAGGACTTGGCTGTGTTAAGTCAGAGTGATCAGTGAAGTGGCTGCTGGAGGCTGAAATGTGAACAGGTTCCTGAGGATCAAATGGGGTAGCAGCTGGATGGTAGGGGGAGGCTGCAGCTGGAGATGACTCAACCCTAACTCTGCGGGGGGTTGCCCAGACAAGCCTGCAGGCCATGGGTCCCAAGTAAGGTCACACTTGTGAATCAGCCATCCTTCTGTCTGGTGGACCTCCTGTACCCCACCCCAACCTTCTTGAGAGGCAGAGCAGCCCCCAGCAAATGAGGGACACTGGACCTATCTTTGGGAGACCAAGGCCCCACTGGACTGAATCTAAGTAATGCAACCTCTCCTTGGAAAGGATCCAGGAGGAGGAGAAAACCTGTCTCATGCTTAAGCATTCATCCCAATGCCCCTCACCCCCTCCCATGCCTTGAACCAGTCCCAGGCAGATGCCATACAGCTGTGTTTGCAGTGTGTGTGTGTGTGGGGGGGGGCTGTCCATATGTAGAGGATGGGACCACCCACAGTGACAGCTCATCTCTCAGGAATCCATCTCCTGCTGCTTATGCCCTCACTGGTGGGCCTGTCCATGCCTGGAGCCAGGTCCCCACTACCTACCTGTCTTTATTCTGGTCCCATAGCAGTCCTCTCTAATAAGTTAATCTTTTTATAGACCTCTTCCACCAACTTCCCCACCAAGCCCAGAACTCACCCTGGGCCCTGTCTCCTTTCCTCATTGCCTCAGGATCTGCATGAAGCTTCCCCCTTCAAAACTTTACCCTGCCTCACTAATCTCCCCTTAATCAGCCTACCATCCCACTTTTCACTCCTGATTGACATCTATTGACTGTAGACAGTCCTTCCTCAAACCTAGCCCACTAGGTCAGGGCCATTGTCCTGAGGAAGTCTTTCTATTGCATATCTCTTCATTAGGTGGTTGACATCAAGACAGAGAAACACCCTGAAAAAAAGCCAGCTCCGTCTAGGGCCCTCTTTGTTTTCTTTTTCTTCTTTGTTTTTTGGTGGGACTGGGGTTTGAATTCAGGGTTTCACACTTGAAAAGCAGTCACTCTACTGCTTGAACCACACCTTCAGTCCATTTTGTTATGGTTATTTTGGAGATGGGGGCCTCACAAACTGTTTGCTGTGCTGCTTCAAACCACAATCTTCCAGCTCTCAGCCTCCCAAGTAGCTAGAATTACAGGTGTAACCCTGTAAGAAAGAACAGCCTTCTGTTTTCTTGCCAGCCCTAAATAATTCTGGGCAGCCCAGAAAGCACTTCTACAAACTGAGTGTGGGAGGTAATCCCTCCACATCCTATAATCCCATCAGGGAGGCTGAGACAGGAGGATCACAAGTTCAAGACCAGCCTGGGCTGCACTGCAAGACCTATCTCAAAAAAAAAAAGAAACACACACACACACACACACACACACACACACACACACACACACCACTCACCACTGCTCTTGGGCCCCTTCTATCAATGCCTGCATCCCCCAACCCCCTGGAGCCTCAGGCTGAGTAAGGAGATGGGGGTGAATGGAACTTCTGTTAAATGTTCCCTGTGGTCTCCTTCAGGGTTCTGTAGGATGGCCAGACCTGGGGTTGCGAAGATCATCCAGTACTATTTTCCTACTGCCCAGGAAGGCTGGAGCTGCTCTTATCACAGACATGCCCCACCCCCCAACTATCTTGGGACACAGTGCTGTTCATGGGGACCAGAACCTTTTTCCAAGGTCAGGTCTACTCAGCAGTGTCCCAGACTTCCCAACCCTGGAAGGTGTGTTCCAGACCAACCAGACATGCTCTCATCATAGAAGCAGCCCCTGCCCCTAAGGCTGTCACTTCCTACACAGCAAGAATGGGTGACAGCATGACAGAGATGGCTGGAATATGAACAGTAGGGGATACAGGAGGCCCAGCTGAGAGAATGTGAGTGTTCAGATAAATCTAACTGAGGTGCTCCCAGAAAGGAAGGGCTATTGTAAGGGGGTCAAAGGATGCTGGGAGAGGCTATTGGGAAAGGTAGAAGCAAGGCTGTGAAAAGTGTATGTCTACAGCTGTCCTGAGGATCAGAAGCAGGGGTGTGGCCCTCTAAGTACCCTGGTTGCAGCCTCCTGGCACAGCCCTGGAGCTACTCATCAGGGAAGTGGGGCCCCAAGTTTGAACTCCCTCCCATGCTCTCCTGGACATTCCTTTCCCTGGATTTGGACACCAGCTGTCAGATAGCACCTTATATCTCCAACCAAGGCCTTTTTTTGAGGTTCCAGACCTCCAAACTCCTCACCAGAACTACGGCTAAAGTTTGGCAGGTTGACCTCCCTTTAGGTCTCAGCACTGCTGGAAATGCCTGCTCCAGCTCTTCCTGTGACCATGACCACAGTTTGGCTCACCAGGACCACCATAGAAATCTAGCCTGAGTCCCCATGCTAAAAATTCTCAGCTCTGACTTCTCTTCAGTAACCTCCAGTACATCACTCCAAGATGCTTCTGGGGGAAAAATCAAATGCCCTGGCTTGGAATGCAAGCCGTGATCACTGCTGGCAGCTCGAGTTCTCTTGTATGTCCAGCACACCTGTGGCCATTAGGTTCAGGCATTGGCTTAGAAATAGTCTTAGCCTCCAGGAACTCAAATTAAGGGCAAGACTTGGCACTTATTCCCTATGCCTGGGTGCTGCATCTCTGCAAGAGCCAGAGTTGGGCCTTAAGGGTTGGGTGCTGCCCAACAGCTTCTCTCCAGCCAGTCACACAATAGGAAGATTGCCTAGTGTCCCAGTCCTGAGCTGCGGAAGACAGGTGTCTCCTAAGTGACAATCTGAGGCTGCAAGTGGAGGGGCAAGGGCAAGGCATTAGGACAGAGTGATTCAAGACTTGGTTTAACTACCTTCAGGCTAGCATGCAGCAGGGCCGTCAAGGGCATGACTTCTGAATAGCCCTGTTTCAACAAACCTTGTCCCAGGCCCCTGCTCATCAGCACCAGCCAATAACTTCCTCAAAGCAAGATTAGACCCCTCACTTCCATCCACTGGGCTCCTCAGGAACCTGATTGTGGAAGACTGGGGAGTACAGAAAAGGGAAATAGGGCTTAAAGGGGAAGCAGCTGAGAGCTCCACTAGGTCCTGGCTGCCTCAGAAAGACAGGGAGGGGATTGTCAGGCCAACAGCTCAGGACTTGCCTGGGACAGATCTAGTCAAGGGAGGGGGCTAAGGCTCACTGAGCTCAGGGCTATTCTTGGAGCCTGAGTCAGTGGCAAATCAAGGCAAAGGATTTTTGCCCTGCCTGTCCAGGCAGCAGTTAGAAATGAAATGGGAACTCTGTGCCCCAGGCTACGTTCTCCTAGAATCTCAGAGTAAACACAGAAGCTTCCTCAGGGATGGCCTTGGACCCTCCTAGCCCATCCCAACAGATTGGGGACCACCAGAGGGTGACTCTAGTCCACAGTGAGTTGTTTTCCACATGAACCCGAGTTTCCAGAATGGGACCCCTACAAGGGCACAGGCTGAGCTTGTAGTTCCCTGGGATTCCCACACCCTGTTCTTGGGACAGCCTGGCTGAGGAATGTCCCCCATGGAGCTAAGTGGAAACATCTGGGCTCAACTCCCTGACAGCATCAAAGGCTTCCGGCCTCTGTGTTGCAGCCCCCACGCTTGCCCCTGGCTGAGGACACATCAGCCTGTGGGAAGGCAAAAGGATCCAGGGGATGTAGAACTGGAGGGAAGTCCTTACTCCCCAATGGACTCCATGCCAATGCTAAATGAAAGACAACACAATTCTCAATAGAATACTTTATTGGTGATAATCAGCTGTCTGGATTTGAGGAACCAGAGTGGTATGTTTGTGGTGAGGGACCACGAGCCCTGGCCCCATTCTCTTGCTTGCACAGGCTTCCTGCCTAGAAGCGCAGCCAGAACATGCCGCTGCGGATCCGGTTGTAGTCTGGGAGCTGCTCAATGGGGCCTGTAGGGATAGGGTGGAGTGTCAGGGTGGAGCGCCTGGCCTGCACAGGGACACCTGGCCCTATGCCACACCCAGCTCAGAGCTGCTGCCCACAGCCACACAAGACAGGCTTTGAGTGAAAAGAGGGAAGAGCACATTCCCCCAGGGGTGCAGAGCCTGTCCCTTCATGCTCTGGCCCTTGGAGCCCCACCCCAAGTGCAGGGTGCCCGTTAGCTAGCGGTGGGGGTGGGTGGGAGGGTGGTTATTGATGGAGGCAGCTTGGCAGGTAGTCAGGGAGCTGCTTGGACAGGTTTTCTGAGCAAGAACTCCCTGGCAGCCAAGCTATTGGGGAGAGCCTCCTGGGGGCCTCAACTTGCTTCTGTCAGTGTAGGCTGGGGGTGGGGAGCAGAGGCAGAAAGGAAGGTTAAGATAATGGCCTGGGGAAAAGGACAATGAGCAGACCTTCTAGACCACTCACCAAACCCAGCCACTGCTGGACACTGGTCATAGAAGTACTTGGAGCAGACTTCACGCACCACCTGGGCATCCACTTCCTACAAGGAAAAGCAGAGGGCACACTGAATGACAGGTACTGGGCACCACCTTGGCGGTTAACCTTCTCCAGCTGACCAAGATCTCCCACACATACTGAGAAGCTGTCCTCCCACCCAAAAGGGGAAGTGTGGAAGGCTCTCCCTCCTGTAGGCGTCCATGGGCCCCACCTATCACCACATCCATCAGTGCCTCTGCTCTGCCCTACTACACCACTCCTGAAAGTGGCAGCTGCCTAGGACAACAGGGATGCATATGGCAACAGTGTATGTCAGGCCCCAATTCCCCAACCCACAGTGGTCTGCAAGATTCCAGACCCTCCCCTAGGAACCCATGTTACCGCAATCCGGCTCTCCCACTCAGCCAGGGGGATGCGGCGGCCGTAAGTCAGGAGGCTACGTCCAATGTCCTCACATACAGGAGTGGTACCTTTGCGGTGGGGAAAGGCTTAGAAGTTTGCTCAGTTCAATCCTGGACCCATGGACACACACATAACCTCTAGTATTAGGTTGATGAGGACCTTGCTCTGACCCTAGATCACAACCCTTCCTTCTCTAATATGTGATAAGCTGCTGACTTGGGCACTACCACCTCTGCACATAAAGCCCAAGTGGCTGGTGGGAGGGAGGGGAGAATATTGCACGATCCTCAAGGTTTTCTTTTCTAACCTTGGTTAGGAACAGGGGCCACACTAGGGGTGTCACTACTACCACTGCCAAGACGTACTTACCTTCCTCTAGGGTTACAGGACTCACCATCTAAATGAGAAACCAGGGAATTCCTGAGAATGTTTTTGCCCCGAATCACCTCACTCTCTGTAGCACTGGTACACAAGCGCATCCTAAAGTGGGGATACAGGGAGAGAGTGCATTCTGGGAAACACTGTTTTGTATCTTAGCTTTCTACTGTCCTGGTCAAAGGTCCCCATTCCACCAATACTGGGCTGGCACTCACCACTGCCCTTGCAGGAAGAACATCATGTCATCGATGCTCATGCGGTCACTGACAAAGTGTGCGCCCAGCAACCCAGTCTCTGTGTAGCAGATGTTAAAGGTCTGGAAACTCTGGCACAGCTTATTGGTCACAGCAACTGAAGCCAGTGGGCTGGACAGGTGCTGCCAGATCAAGAGTGATCAATATCCCCTCATTTGTGGCCCACACAGCTCAGGAACACCCAACCCAACACCTCTCTTCTCTGAAGACAAGGTTCCATTCTTGCTCCTGGAACTTACCATGCCACCACCATAAGTGCAGTCATAGTGGCCAATAATAGCATTGGCCACTTGAAGGGCCACATTGTCTGGGTTGGCCCAGCCAGGTCCCTCTACCGCAATGGCCACATGGGCAAAAGGCAGGGCATCATCACGGTGGCGGATCTGAAACAGTAAAGGTCAAAGGCTGAGGGACAGCCAGTACTTCCTGGGCAAAGAGAACAAATGGCTGGTATAGGTGAAGTGTGCATGTGTGTGTCAACATATGTGCTTGTGAGGCAACAGCCACAGGACCCCTTCCCGATTCCTGAGGCATCTCTGGAGTCACAAAGAGGATATTTCCAGAGGTCTCCAGTTGACAGCACCACCCCCACCAACAGGCAAAGCACCTCACTCCCAGTGAAACGGCACGGAATTAGACTGGGCACGGCATCCTCTTCATATGTTCCAGAGACACTGCTGAAGTGCTTCTGGGCGAGGTCTAGGAGCTGCCTATGCTCCACCCCTGTGGAGAAAGATATTGGTGTTAGTGGCTAATCAGAATCTATAGCAAATGCTGGGCGCTGATGGCGTAGGTAATCCTAACTACCCAGGAGACAGAGACCAGGAAGATCGCAATTCAAAGCCAGCCCAGGCAAGCAGTTTATAAAACCCTATCTCAAAAAAGGGCTAGTAGAGTGGCTCAAGGTGTAGGCCCTGAGTTCAAACCTCAGTACCGCAAAAAAAAAAAAAAAAGCAAGCAAGCAAGCATATGTGCGTCTCTGGGCCCATAGTATCCAAATTACAAAAACTGGTGCTCCCTGGGCACAAGGCCACCTTGCTGCCTTGTTCCTCAGGCTCTACTACAAGCAGGTCTGGCTGTTGGCCCCGAAGGAGGTGGCAAGTGAGACAGACCAAAGAGGTGCTACTGCAGAATTATAATTACTTCTGGGATCCCTGAGAGCTGGGATCACTGACAAGTTAACATTACAAACTTAGGACCCTGTGCCAGAACTCATCTCAGCTCCGTAAGAAGCCTCTGCTGCTCTAGCACCGGGGCTTGTAAGCACTGTCACAATGGACAGCCTGCCCCAGTCCCGCCAGGACTCAACAGTTTGATGTGTCAGTAGTTCACACTGCTCTTGGTCCCTAGGTTCCCTGGCTCCAAAGTCCTCAGTCATGTTCTTCCTATCAGTCTTTGCAGGGAGCATCCTTGACCCTGCTTCCCACTCATAACCAGACCTGCATCAGAAAACCATTCTGAGCCCATCCACTTCTCTCCCTTGTTTCTGTGATCTCCCACCGAGTACCTGTCACATCCTCCCTAGTTGGCCTGCCTCTGCTCCAGCCCACCCAGCAAGAGAGCAAGCCTTAAAACACACATCAGACCATGACACTGACCACACTCCCTACTAACACCCACCATCCTTCACAGCTCTATTCTAATGACATAACTACAATACCCACCTCCATACCTCTAACCCAGTCCCCATTAAAATCTCCTCTACCAGGCTGGTGGAGTGGATCAAGTGGTAGAGCACCTGCCTCTGAAGTGCAAAGCAGAGTTCAATCCCCAGTACAGTTAAAATAAACAAACAAATAAAACTCTCCTCTACTATTCTGTGCCTTCCTTTGAAGATACTTCCCAGCCTATCATCAAATATATATCACACAGCCAATGTCTGGCTTGCCCAACGGCAAAGCCACAAGGAACAAGCCCAGGGTCCTATGTCCTCCACCAGGCCACAAAGTGGATATCTTAGATCCAGGTGAGGCTAAGAGAGATCTGTCCCCTAGAAAGGGGCTGACAGCCCAACTGAGGCATGTACTAGATGGTAAGTGCTTGTGTGGTCAGTCCCAGTGGTGGCAGGACAGAATTCTACTCCCTGGAAAACACAGGAGAGAGGTCACTCCCCTCAACAACAGGATGGGAACAGGATCCCTTGGAGGGCAAGGTCTCTCCTATGGTCAGAACTAGGGAATCTGACTTTCAATAACAAGGTTGGAGCCCATTTTCCCAGGGCTTCAACAAGCCCATTACTCACCTCCAGCTGCTGCCAACACCATTCGAGGGGCCTTGTAATGCCTGCTAAGGTAGTCAGTCAAATCTGCGCGAGACAGTCTCCTACAAAACATGCAGCCACTCTTCACCAGAGATGCCAGGCCTCTAGTATGTGCATACCTACATGTTGACTGACCTTTAACACCTCTCACAATCTACAACAAGCTGGATCACACAAAATGGGGCTGAGAAGAGGCATGACTTCTCTGAAGAGCTGGCCCTAGCACACCCCTTGGCACCATTCCCCCATTTCTGCCACTCACCCCTCCAAGACCCAGAGGACAGTCCTCATCTAGCCTGTCTAACAACACTCTCTGAGGAGGGGTAAACTGGCAATGACACTAGATTCTTGAGGAGTATGGTCGAATCCTCACAGCCCACTTCCTACTAGAGGACAAGAAGCCACATGGAAGGGATATGCAGATGGTCCATCCAGGACATGCATGGAAACATATCCTAAACAAAGTCTAAGATTCAAGTGAAGACCACACAGCCACTCAAAAAGACCCATGGGGACCATATAGCAATAGAGAAACTATTTCCAATTGGGTGAATTAGGAAAAATAAACACCACAGATAGCTAACCAATCAAAAACAGCCTGAGGGC